GGTTAGGTTTTAGCGGTAAAGCGTATTCGGATTTTGCAACTTGCCTATCGTAAATGTGAACCTCGGCTGTTCCTGCGTCTTGTAAGTCTGGCTTAACAAGCTGTAAGCCAATTTTACAGAATGCACGGGACTTCTTAATGGGCCGAGATGCAATGGTGTTTCGCTAGGAGAGGGACGAGAGTGCCACAAAAGTGGCCGAGCCGAGTCATAGTAATTGCTTAAAGATGATTTGTGGCAGCGGTGTTTTCTATGGGATATAAGTTTCTGGACATCGCATGTAGAAATAGAAGCGCTGTTTTACCGTGCCAGTAATTAATAGAGCTCTTGAGAGAAAAGGAATAACTTCTGTTGCTGGAAGGGAGGAAATACCCTCTAGCAGAACGGATTGTTTTTGCAGCAACCGGCCGCCCGTCTGTCACGTCCTAGTCTGGAAATACTAGGTTTTCGTGAGGAGCACGGTCGTTTTCGAGGTTGCCAGAACGCGGGTTAGTTTTCTGAATGGAAGGATTAAGCGCATTGCTCGCGCGCAAGTCTGATCCTTGGAATCTGTTTTTGATTGAGTTAAAGGTACGGGTTGGAGTTGTCGATTGCTTCTACTTATACTGTTGCTCTCTGTCAGTTATTCGGGGGGTGTAAACGGGATGTCGAAGATGCGCTGATATTCAGGATACTCCTGAAGCATCCGCAGAAGTGAGCCATTGCTATGGAGTGGAAATAAGCATTTTATCTGGAAGATTCTTTTTCTTTCTCTTTTTGTTTTTCTCTTTCTGAGGCGGCATTCATTATCGTTTCGATTTCTTCGAATGTCGGTCGTTGCGCTGGCTGCTGTTCCCAGCACTGTGTCATAAGCTTCTTTACGCTTTTCGGCGCATGCTGCAGTGAAAACGTTTTGGAATCGATGAGAACTTCTGTTATTTTCTAAATTGACGGTGTTTTTTACACTAGAAAGAACCGACGGACCCTCAAGAGGCTATAAGCTCTTAGGCACGGTGTCCTACATGCAAATTATTTAATTTGATCTTTGAGCATATAAAATTAGCTAGCAAAGCTGTTAAAAAAGGCCCACCAATCTCCAAACGGGGTCGGAAATTTTGATTTCGATTTCTGGCCTGTAAATTGTCAAATTCGACTTGCAAATTTATTTAACGAACTCGGGAAAATACAACAGCTTGAACTACAAAACTAGTGTGTCGAGCCTATAAATTGTAATTTCCTATAAGTAGATGAAAGTAAATAAAGTGGAAGAGGAGCGAATTAAGGAATAATAATATGAGTATTTACTAAAAAAATCAAAGCCATTAATGTAAATATATTTTCATAAGTAAGTAAATTAATAAATGTAGTAGATAGCAGGAACAGCTAGCATTAGGACATTTCGGCTCATTGAGTTCTGTACATCTTGTAGAATTGGCTTACAGATGATCGAGCGAGGCTAACGAAACGCAGTTGCCTGAGGTTGACATTCGATCAGGAATTCGAATGCGTTTTACCGCAAAAAATCTTACTTTTGGGATGTCAAGCCGAGCCTCACCGTGGATGACGTATGCTCGCATTTCCATATTCGTTAAGCCGTGAAAAGGAGCAGCGCCGTTTTGAAAAATTTCCCAGAGCTATAAAAATACATATTTTTCATTAATTTGTAACAACAAATTTGATGGTCCAACAATCGTCCAATATGGAACTCTCTGTGTTACTGAAAGCTATTTATGCACTTCACTTGGCTATGCCAAACTTTCCTCTCGCAAATCATTTAGCTTCAGCTGCTACCACAGCTGCTCATCATAAACACATTGAAATGTTTCTTTATTCTTCTCAGTTTTTCCTGTAGTCCTTTCGGTCTGGTCATTTATCCAGCAATACAAACTTACAAGCACACCAAAAGCCCAGACATCAGTCTTTTCGGAGAAAACGTGACGAAGCATTGTTTCGGGTGCCAGCCATGCAACATTGATATTCTCCAAAGGTTGATGAATAAACGGAGGGCAGCGTTCTGATCCAGCAAATCGGAAATCGGCAAGTTTCAAAGTCATATTGCGTGTGATAAGGCAGTTTGACGCTTGAACACACCTGCGCATGTTTAAACATTTTCAGGAGTCAGTCAACAGGTCTTGTTAATTGGTTTTCGTATTTCTCATTTTCCACTACTCATTAACACTGATTGTGATGTCATCTTTAGTTATTTTACGGATTATTTTGGTCAAAATCCCTATATTCCTACCTCACTTTATTTCTGGTCCTAGCTGTTAATAAGAGAATAAATTTAAAATCAGACATTACGCGGAACGCGCAAAAATTTGCTCGTCAGCAGCAAAAATATTAATGAAGGGCCGTCTTACACTGCTTTCACCAACTTTATAATGTTTTATTTTAGTTTGTTCCTTTTCTTTCAGTACTGTCTAAAAAAACGCAAAGCAGTCACTTGTGGACGTATCCTTTGCTCACAAGATATTTCAGCGCAGCCGCTGCTTGTGCTCCAAAACGTACTTTCATTTCTTTTCGAATTTTGCTTTTTCGCAAGAGCACAGCCAGATTTACTGAAATTTTGTACAATTTCCAGCAATCTAGTATTTAGTGGTTCCTCGATATTTCGAGTGCTTTTAAAGCTGATTTCAATAAAAACCATCTAGCAGTCGCTGTTCCATGGTCCTTTCATGAGGATCGATAAGAACACAATTCACAGTGTGATGCTTTGATTTTAGCGTAGTACCAGCCAGTCGCTGAGCCTCCTCACTCTCCTGCTGACAGTCTCTTCGCACCAGGCTCTAGTACTAGCAAGCAGAATACAGCGCAGTGTTCTCGTTTATTTGAAATTGCATACTTACCAAAACTACGGCCATTCTCAAGACGCATTGTAATTTTGAAACGCATTTACAGTGTGGTTTTGTTTTGGGAACTATTTGGAGGGGCTCTTGGATTTTCTTTTTGAAACATCATTAGCGACATGTTGGTAGAAAATTGACGGCAAGATGCTAAGATGGTTTTGCTGCTCTGATAACTTAAACCCACAAAGTCGTCGAGTTCCATCAGCTTTTCGCAGTCATGTTTGATAATAAATTCGAGCGTCGCTAGCTACAGACTTCTGCATATCAAGGTACCAGAACTGCAGCGATGAAATGAAAAGAATCCCAACAATTTCGAGAGTGAATTAGGATGCCAAATCTGGCCATATGCTTGTAAAACCCAATCCAAATGGCGAAGGACTTTACTGTGCTAGAAATCGAAAACCGCCTAGCGAAGGCGCTTAACTGTCATATAGCATTTTGAGAGTGCAAGGCTGTCAGTGCGCGATTTTCTGGATCCTAAACAGCTCACAGCAAAATTTGTCAGATTTTTGAAAACTGTACTCTGGCATAGTCCAACGACCATCGTCAGGGGCAGGGCCGTTAGGATGATTCCGTAGAATTCCAAGATGTTCGGGTGCGATAGTTCTCGGAGTGTACGGGCATCGGCCAAAAATTCGTTCTTGCTTTCTATCTTCAACTGCTTGTTTGTGAGCAGTATTACTGCAGCTTGTACTTGCTCCTTGCGGATGCGAACCATCGCTTCGTAGGCCTGTAAGAAGCCCGCGCATGATTACAACTAAAAATACAGTCTGCTCTACAGTACGTCTATCGGTGCACATGATATTTAAATCGATCTATTTCTGGTCTAAATATTTTATATCACTGTCATGCCTCTCACTGAGATGAGGGATAATTACGTGCTAGGATTGCCTTTAATGGATTACGGAACAAGCGTCATGTCCCCTTCGTTCTCGCGGATGGCTTGAAAGATTTAGACAGAATGAAAAAATTTGCCGGCCAAGCAGATGTTGCACCAAAAATATGTATTACTGTATAGAAGCTAAACTGTTGCCTATGCCATAGGCGGATCTGGTGTGGTCTCCTGGAGGGAAGAGGGGGAGGGGGCTGGCAGGGTGCACCGAATACACTTTTGTACAATAATAATCTAGCTCCTGGGAAAGAAGGGGGAGGGAGGGAGGGGGCGTGAGCGGTCCGCCAATGGTCTATACACAACATAGTTTATAGTGTATATATAAAGGTTTGGCAGCATTTTATGATCGCCTTATTCATCTCCAGCGTCTCTTATTTCATTTCACTAAATTCAGTGCCTCTTTTCCCCTCCCTTTTCTTCGGGCAAAAGAAATATCATCTCCGTTGTCGTAGAATACCACCGCTGACTGATGTAACAAGAATCACCTTCATCCGATAACATCCATAAATATCACCATGTAAGCGTGCAACACAGCTTGCTAGCAGATTCCATGGTGCCAAGGTAATTGGTTTACTCAGCACTATTTGGCTAGTTCCTAGCGGCGTTTTCGTCGTTCGATGCCAATCCAGTAGCGGAATTATACGTTCTTCCTGAACAGGACACTGTTGTAGTATATTCCCATTGCATCTGCATTCCTGTTCGCATTTTTGAAGATTGTGCCGTATGGATTTATCCCCAAATTATATGTAAATTATGCTTTTGATAGGAGCTAGTCTCTAGTAGTCCTTACAGAGAGAAGATAACGTCAAAATTGCCAACAGAGTAACTATCAGGCGACGCAACTTAGTGGAAGCAACTGGAAAAGCTGCCAACTGCACAATTGGAGGAAACGGAATTATGGTTGAACAAAACAAGTGTTTTGATTTTTTTTTTTACAAGCCAGTGTTCTTAACCCACCCGCCCCTCCCGAAAAAAAAAAA